GCCAACACGTCGGTTGCGTCAAAACTGGAGAAGAATGCAGTCTAGTAACTTCGGAGGAGGATCCTCCTCCGTATTTTACTTGAAGACAATACGCCGCTGGGGCTGGCAGGAACGTATATACATCTGGACTGCATTTATATGCATGCTAGAAAATTGTTAGCAAAAGTTGCCTTTTGGATTTAAATCCACTATAAATCCATGTTCGAATATGGATCATTTTGATCTTAAAACTGTTTTTGTTGTTTGAATCGAGCTGTGCTTCTGTAATTAACCGTAGATACTCTTGTGATACTATCGAGAGTATTTTTCGATTTTGGTACGCTATCGTGCATGAGAATGCATGCATATGGATCTTATCTCATCAACAAACTTCGAATACAAGGGATGCTAGGTGCAGTTTCTTTCAATCAACCTACACGAGCTTAGTCCATAATGCACTTTCTACCTGGTTTGAAGTACTCTGTTCCCTTAGCATTTATAATCTTAGGGTGTTTAAATCCTGATATGTACTCAATATATGAATCACAACCACATTTCGAATGAAATGTCAGGTTGACGTAATCCTACTTTATCGTCATGCACAAGTCTTCACATCCAACGGACTAGTGCATATGTATGCACATCTGTGAAATTGAGGTTACCGTAAAAGCTGTTTCCAATATGTATTTCTAGCTACCCCTGCCGTTAATTCATCAACCTGCCGACATATTTTGTGCGTGAATTGACAACTTAATGATAATTTAACACAGGCTTTACGTAAACTTACGTCTGCTTTTTGATGCTCGGGTTTTTAAGTGACATTCCTTGCTTTTACAGATAAAAGTTCACCGATATTCCCAACTTAATTGAATTTAGAACTTGCGTCCTTCTGTGATAGAAATTTGGAATCATAAACTGCTGAAGATTTTTCCTCAATTACATACAATAAGTGGTTTTTAATTTACACCTAGCAGTTAGTAGTAATTCAGTTTTGGTACTTGTCTATATTGAGAAACTATCATATATCTATCAAGCCTACATATGGCCCAAGTGTCCGTCGTTCAACATATCTTTGCCTCAGAAAATGTCTTCTAGCTGAGTCCGTCAGACAACCTTTCGGTTACTCTTTGAACATACAATTTTGTCGTTGGAGCCTTTCTGAAAACGGTTGCTAAGATAGTGAAGCGAAAGCCAATTACCGAAGACCTTGCCGTATCCCGTATAAATCTTGACATCTGGTTTGATGTTATTGTGTAGCACTTTGGGTTCTGCTGTCCAGAATGTTACCAATGTTTGCGTTTACTTTGACGTTACAGCATGAATATATTTTTGGACCAATTTTGGCGATGCCGTAAGCAACATATATACTATGTTTTTGACTATCCACATGAGATGTTTAGTTTCTCTCGAACTCCATTGTTGTCGGGCGAGATACTACTATTGCTAGGTTCGGGCATATCATAACTGTTCAGTTTATTTTGCCTTTGCAATGCCTACGCAAACGCATTAACCCTGGTTATCTTTTCGTATTAGTTTGGACCAGCTTATTTGTTGTTTATGGTTCTTCTGGACTTGAACGTGCGTATTTGATTGAATTAAAGGTACCATTTTAAAAAAACAGGATACTGGTCTGGTACATATTTTTGCAGCTGATGCAATTTGCCGTACTGCAGTCTATTATTCAAGCAGTTTGTCGGCCAAAAAACATATTAGAAATAAAAGCACCGGTGCATAACATCCTTTTGCACCGACTCATTAAACATCAGTTTGATTAACATATCCATTCGGGAGGTACCTTTGGGTAAACCGGAAATATTTAAGTTTTCTTGTCGCTTTAAGTCACATTTAACAGATAACTGCCTGCATTCGAGGACCTTCCATGCTTTATTTTCGCAAGTTAATGGCTTTTCTGGAAGTATACATGCTTAAAAGTGATCCGCAAGTGTGTAATATACATACGAAAAAAATACCCCAGGTGGTACTACAACGCCAATCTCTTGATCTGGCTCATCCAAGCTACTGCATTTCGACTTAACCCTTAATCCGGGTTAATGCCCGCTTTTTGATCAACCATGAATGTTGTTGGTAGTGCCTTTTCCAATGAGTCAGTTTGCTGTAGAACAGAAGCGCCCTGCTGTGTCAAATCACGCTTCATTCTACTTGACCGTATGAATTTGAAGACGTCGAAATCTCAGACAAGCTCAATCTCGCAGATTTGACCTAAAGGTTATATTTCTGTGAGCATATCTTGTATCGAGGTTTTCTTTTATTTTCCCATACGTGCGAGATGGGAGATGTTTCTCTGATGATACCTGTGAAGTTGCGAGCTTTTCGACCCTTGTCGTTGGCGGATTTAAAATTTATGATGAGTGTTCCACCTGTTTATTAGACCTAATTACTCTTTTTCTTGTTTCTTGTAGGTTTTGAAGATACTGCTTTAGCTGTAGGAGATTATATATTTTGAGTCAACTTTCTGTAATTGCACCATCCTCTCCTGCACAATGAGCACCAAGCGACTCGTTCTGATATTTTCCTACTTGTTTGTGGACTTGATTGCATTCACTATGATCCTGCCATGGTTACCATCGATAATCATCCAATTCTGTGACCGAGACGTAAGGCGACTGCTTCTCACTTACTCTGTCTAGACAAACGTCAAGAATGCACGGGAATTCATATACACAACCGTTTTGGGAATTACCGATCTGAAAGCAATGTCAGCCAGAGACGCCTCTCTGATCGGAGGTAATGATCACGTTACGTAATTAATGTATGTTTTAAACAGGCATAACGAGCTCAGTTCTGTCTATCTCACAGTATCTGAGTTCGCCCCTCTCCGGAGCTCTGTCGGACACCTATGGTCGGATACCAGTCCTGCTTTTCCTGCATGCAAGTTCCCTTTGAATAAACTAGTGATCACTTAAGATTAAATCTCCTCAAGAAATTCATGAGATGGATAATTTCGATCTCCTCTTCTGCCTTCTTTCCGTGGTCCATTATCTAATTCACAGCGACTTTGCGTTATTTCAGGTTTAGCATGACTTCAATGAGAGTAGCAGCAAACGCGTTGTCATTCGTAATAATTTTTTTATTCTCATGAGCATTAATTTTTCACTTTTCGGCCTAAAGACGCGTACAGTATATGCTGAAGCTCAGGAAACGTTTACTACCATCGTTAAATTAAGTACAGAAGTGAGCTTGATATACCCTTTAGCGGACTGATTAATACGCGGTAGTTTGTTGAGTTTCTTTGGAACGCCATTGTACAGAACTGTGTAACTAACGCTTGAATACGCAGACCTCTTCAAGCGTCTGTGACGAGATCTAGTGTCCACATGGTACTATAAGAGAGTGACCAGCTCTCGTAATTTAAAGGTAGCGCTTGTAGGCTTCTGCACATTGGACCAGACGTAAACTTTCATTTCAAGTATGTTCTGAAAGCTGAAGCACATGCCTTTTTAGTGTACCAGATTTATAGAACACTAAATTTCCTGCAACACAAACCTCCGACGTATAGGTGAAAATTTGCAGACGTCGTCCACAGTACTCACGTAGCACTTCAAATACTGAGATTATTCTATTTACAAGTTAACTTGCTATTGTTTGGCATGCTGAACAATCCTGTTACCACGCTTATTAGTGTTTTTTATTTGAAAACCCCTGTAGAGGCCCTCATCAGTACTCTCTGGATTGGGAAATAGGACCTCACAGTAAATTTATTAGGTTGGTGCAAAATAAATTTCAGTTTTCAGCCCCTGAATTTAAAACCATGATCTAAACCCAAAATAAGTTTTACTAATCGTGATACAAGCATTAGCGCCTACATCCTTGTTTACCTTATTTGCACAATTTGCGTTCACATTTTGTGCAATAATTAATATTGAAACCTCACCGAAGCAATCCTTTCTGATCAAAACCATATTAAAGAATTCAGATTAACATTTCATGAGAAGAGTGAGGCAATGTGTATTGAATATGTTTCGAGCTGTCTTTTAGTACCAAAGAATTTTCTGTTTTTGTAGGAATTGTTAAGGTACTTAAGAAATGGACTAATAACCCGAAAATAGCTCCGGTAAATATGCTGATGCAGTCAGGTTGTCGTCCCCCAATGAGTTCAACTTTTGGGACGTGCTTTGTGTAATGTTTGGTCGACCCTCGTAATGAATACTTGTGAAACTTATTCGATTGATTTTCAGTATCTTTCACCTAAATTTGACGCGCTTTCTAAAGATGAAAGCAGTACTCTACAGCGATTATTTTGCCTCCGTTCGCAAATGTGCTGCAGAGTGAATGGCCTCCACATGCAGCGGTAGTTCAGTGACAAACGTTTGTAAGCTGTCTATCCGTAATAATTTTCTTCAATTGCTCGGCATAAGCAATGGAAAAAAACGTTTCAGATATTTGTAAACGTCGACTGTAAAACTTTCCGAAGCGCACTGAAGCCGTGCGCTCGTCCGTTATCCCCCCCACCGATTTTGCACTTTTACTGCAGATGTCTAAGTTTTTGAGCGGTAGAGATTAGTAAGCAATGCAAAATAAACCAAGCCGTTTCTTGAAGACTCACTACAACACGATTCACAATTTGTACACAATAGGAAGACATATATGTTGCCAAACTTAACAGTAACCCCGATTTACTTTGGCGAAAAGGATAAGGGGGACTGGAATGGAAATTTCTAGCTCATTAGCCGTCATCAGCTAGTCATGGCCGGCCCTAGGTGGTGCAACACCTGAGGCTCGAAGCTGCGACCTGTTGCTTAGAGATCCAACGCTCTAACCATTCAGCCACAGGCTCGTTGTCTTGTCGATTTAGATCGGGAATTCTGACATTTGTTGGTCCTCAACGAATTAGTAATCTCAATGTCTACTCATAGTTTAAAGCTACGAGGACAGCTCCCAAACAATCTCTGGGAATGCCAAAGATCTCGTTTTTCGGAAACTCTGAAAAATCAGGCTTTAAGGCATCGCACCTTAGGCATCCCTTTCGCTTTCGAAGCGAACTGCAATAGCTCGTCGTCAGCCAGCCATACCCAGACTCAGGAGCGTCACATTTGCGCCTCGAACCCGCAACCTGTCGGTTAGAACTCAAACAATCTAAACACTGGGACATAGGCTAGTTGTCCTGTCGGTTACGATCGGGTCTATTAACAGTGGTAGAGGGGTCCAATTGTTAGGGCGTTGTGGGTTCGAAGCTAATGGGTTGCTGATGGCAGCTAATAAGCCAGAAATGGTCCTTAATGCTATTGTGCCCCAAAAGTGTTTAATTTTTATCATACCAATATTTGTTTCCATTGCCTATTTCACCAGCATTAGCGTTACAAAGGTTCATTAAGTGTAAACTGGTTTCGTCTACTGTCTAGATCCTAGGCATTGTCTCCTACCTGATGTGGGCAGTGTCGGGTGCCTCCTTCTTCTTCTTCCTCATTTCGCGCCTGCTTAACGGCGCGGCCAGAGCCAACGTGGCAGTCCTCTCGGCCATGGTGAGCGACATCAGCAACAAGGAGACGCGTACCCGTGGCATGGCCGT